GTGGAATGTGAGCGATCGATTGACTTTCAAAATTCTCACCAGCCTATGCTCAGGCCATATTTTGGCATCTACCTTGTGCAGACAGAAGCCTCCTCAATGACCCAAAATGCCTACCCGCTCGTGGAATTTCGGCTCCCCAGGAAAGACAACGTTGAAATGAACGAATTATCTTGGGAAGCTGGATAGCCTTATTTCCCGAATGACATAGGTGAGTCGTATAGGCAAGTGTGCATCAGTGAGAAACAGCTCTAGATGCATATCCAGAATAGCAGTCATTACATCTGGGTAGAGAGAGATAACCTTCTTCTCTACTTCCCCCCGTCGTCGGGTTCTTTTCCATTCCAGAAAAAGTTCCTGAAGTACGCCTCGAGCGTGGCCGCCCACTTTTTGAAACGTTTCTACGCCTATGAACGTGGTGGATTTAGAATGAAACCAAATTCACTGATTTAGAGCCAGGTATGAAGGTCAGACCGAGGTAAAAACTAGCCTGCTTTTTACACGATAGCTCGGTTTATTGGAAACTTCCTGGTGCTCGTTTTGGGCATTAGTGCAGGGGCCGCAAAAACATGTTCCATAAACCTTTTTGAGGTCAGGGTAGGTAACTGAACTAAAATAATCCAGGTGAACATTTTGCTTTTAGGAAAATATGTTACCTAGCGTAACTCTTTACGTCTATTTGAAGGGCAAAAAACTAGCAATCTGATCTATATTTAATCACCTTAACTTTCTAAAGGTCAAACAAGGTCACTAACCTTGATTGAAGATAAAGGAACGCTTGCTTAGAACATGCATCTAGCTTCACGGCGGTTGCATGGGGAGGTATGGGAGGGGAGGGGGCACTTGAGACATCAGTCGGGAGTGGGCATTTTTGACCTTATTTAACCCAGGGTCATAACCTAAGAATCTTAACTTCTTGTACAAGTAAGTTCACGCACAAGCTAATCCACCCTGCGAATTTAGCGTTCCTAGCTTTCTTACTTTTTGAGATCGCTGAAGGGTAAGGTGACCCCACCCGGGCGAAGGGTATTCAGCTGGCCACCCTGGCGCGTGTTAACTAAAACGCTTCCAAAATGTGGCCATACCGACCGCCGGTGGCCTAATGTTGTCCACGCGACACGAAGTGCTATGACTTCCTGGGGCCTTCTTCCTAGATAATCTTTTCTACCATTGTGAAACACGTCAGCTGTATCTATCGTCCCCACGCACGTGTGTCAAAGACTCCTTACGGCGACCCATTAGGAAACATTGCGCAGCCAGGAACAGGTTTGGGGGCACTGAAACCACAGCGATATTGAAGTTCAAACTGTAAAGCATTGCGAATTAGTGATGACTTGGCCGTCGGCTTGGGCTCGGATAGGTAGGCATTGATTGATTGACGTGTATGTGTATGTATGTGATTGCTCACGTGTATGGGAGCAAACCAGAAACAATTCTGGGACATTAAACCAATCGTCAACAGGTGAATGGATGGCTGATGAGGACAAAGGCAGTCACCCAAAAAACAAACTCAGTGAAACACACGCAAATGCACGCCAGTCACGACTCCGTCGCACAAACAGGCATGACACCTTCAGACGTTTCACGAGATGCCTCTTCAAATGCTTCGGGGAAAGGGACCATCAGAAGCTGGGGACAGTCCGGGAAGCCGTTATACATCTTGGGTGCGCGAATAGAAAAGGCGTCGTTTTCCATCCCAGAATTCAGCGTCCTACGCTCGCCTGACGCTTGCCGTCGATGTTGTTGACGATGTTACAGACCGTGTGGTGCCCTCCACACGACTGCTGGTCGCCCTGACGATCGGCTTCGCTATCGGCGTCGCGATGATCAACCGCTACAACATCAACATCGCTATTGTGTGCATGGTGGCGGACGTGGCGCCACCGGCGGACGACGTCGGGGAAGAACTCTGGAATGCGTCCCAACCGCGCGAGCAGATGGGCGGCACCGGGAACGGCTCGTTCACGGCAGGGCTCACTGAGGTCCAGGTGAGGATGACGGCGGTAGTCTTCTATACACACGGCCAGCCGTGCATGCAGACAACTATAGTAGATGTGGTAATCTGGAGCCGATACTGTAGTGAAAGAATAAAGAACGCAAAACAATGTGATAGTTACATGCTGCGTTCCGTCTTTGCTTGCTTTAAATGCATTAAAACACATAAGAGACGTCACATCGATGTGAAATTTTTTTTGCTTGCTTGCGTAGAACTTTCCGACTATTTATGACTCTTTCTGGACTATGGGGTAAACGAGAGTATGTCAGGTGAGTCAGGTATGTCAGGACTGCATGCACCTGAGTGCCCGCACAATGACTTCCGTGACCTCCTGTCCGCCCAGTGATCTCCTTATGTGGAGTATGTGGAGATGCTGTGAGGAGGTTCTCGCCAGGGGACACTTAGCCTACTCGTGCCAGGTGCATGCAGTGTGCCCTGGGTAAAAGGGACTTTATAC